TAAAAGAGAGAGCTGAAAGGAAATGTCACTGTTTAAAGCATGATCTATCAGGGAATCGTGATTTCTTCAGTTCGTATCTATTTAATACAGAAGCACCGCAACCTTTCTGAACAAGCCTTCCCAGTGTCACACATTAGGGTCTTTTGTTCCTTAAAAGGCCTTCAGAAATCGTTCACTTATGCCTTCAAAAGATTAATCTTTGGCCACTATCCACAAACTCCCAAGGATTTCATCCAAATTTATCTGCTATAAATTTCCTCCTCATGTTCTAATCATAAGTTCTCCAATTCACATAATAAGTCCCATCAGAAATTCCAAGTAGCTTTCCCCTTTGCAGGAGCCCCCAAGGCTCACAAGCTATACTTTGCTTGTCCTATCTTCATCTTTACTTGTACATCATTCCTGATAACCCAAAATTTGCACTTTGCAGTTTGTACCACTACCTTTTTCACCATTTTCTCATCCTGCATCCTTCAAACAACTACACTTAAGGTTTGCATGTATAGCAAACCAAGCACATGTTGTAAACTGAGGAAGAAGCAGTGCATCTGAACCAATTAAGTAGTTATGAATCATCTCTGTGCTGCAACAGTGTTGATAAATACTGACAACTGAAGGAGGAGTCAATCTGGCTGAGGAGTCAACCGGTATTTAAAGGCGACAGGTATTCTGTAGGACATCTTAGCAAACACTGCAGATCACTCTGAAAAGCAAAAGAGCCTTTAGATTTGTTTCCACGGGTTGTTAAAGGAGGGAGGCAATCAGTGATTCTGAATGCCTTGCACATTGTAGTCTGGACCTTTGGCTTTGCTCCACTGCAGCATCTTTACTACTAAGCGCTTCCAGAAACTTCCAGCAGATCCCATCACATGAAGCACCATCTGAATTTGCAGCCTTCAGAATAAGGTTTAGATTTACTGCCGGTCAAACATCTTTCTTTTCCCTTGATTCTGCATCAAAGGATTAGATTTGACTACGGAAGGTTATTTAAACAACAATCTTGAAAAGCTTGATTTCTTCATGGTTCCCTAACGCACAGCGCAGCACCTTCACAAGGCTATCTTTTTCCACCCAGAGAAAGTTCAAAAGGCCCGCTGCTGAAAGTTTACGAAAAAGCATTCACGCTTATCTGGAGCGGCGGAGGAAAATACTTACAGATGTGGTTTCATAAGAGGTCTGACTGAACCAAAGGCTGCATGGCCACAAAGAGCCTACTCCACCCTCCCCAAACAGCTCACGCTCCGGTTCCTGGGTCAGGGTTGTGCTTGCAGAGCCCACCAGCTGAATAGTACGAAAACTTTTCCTTCTGGTTACTGCACTTTTACAAGAAATCAGTTCCCTGAGCTGCTGAGCAGGCTCCCAGCGTGGCAGTGCCAGCTCCGGGGTGGAGGCAGAAGGTACAGCTTCCAGCCACCGCACAGGATGAGCTCAACTTGTGCCAAGGGAAGCCCCACCCTACACAGTTCATTTGCATCTGCCTTCATTACATGGCAATTAAAAAAAGTTAAGTGGCAGGGACGTCTCCTGAGAAAAGCTGCACCTGAAAGACTGTTTCAAAATCCTGCCTCAGTTTACCTGCTTGCTACAAGCTCAATACAAGCATCTTTCCCCCCCTCAAAAACCAGTTCAGCATCCACTGTATTTCCTCCCTCAAGAAGGAAATATAATCATTAATGGCCACATTGATGTGTTTTTGGTAAACTTAATCTTAAATCTGGTTAAGAGGTCTGATAGGCCACACATAACATGGGTTTTCTCCACATTCTTCCCTTTCCCTCCCATCCCATATACCCTCATTTGCAGGGTATTTGCCATCAGTGTGCAAGAATCATCCAGGAAAGCAAACTTCCTGACCAGACCTGGAAGAGAAACATTTTAAGCAAAACCACCCCCCAATCTCAGGAAGCACATTTTAGTTTCTCACGTTATCAAATTCACAACAAGTTTGCCATTCACCCTCAGATATAGGCCTTGGAAAACAAAAGGGGACCTATCAAGTCCTTAAGGAGACAGATCCATGACCGACAAGGGCAGCTTCATGTTTTTCCATGCTGTGCTTCAAGGCTGCAGCTTCCGATTGAGGGTAATTTGGGTTGACACCAAGCAATTTTGACTCACGCAGGATTCGCAGAGCTCGAGTGCGTTATGAACATCCCACAGAGAAGCTGTTTCAATTTTGGATTGAATACACAATTAAGTGGAGCAGTTTTTACAATACGCCCTTGAATGTCACCTTCAGGAGAGCGACAGGAAGTTAATCATAATCGGTAGTTTATCACATTTTAGCCTGCTCTCCTAATCCCAAACGCGTGGTTACGCTACGTTTCCGCAGCACTGCACGCCACAGAGGTGGCTGGTTTACCCAGAACCTACACTTAAGGCGGTGTTGTGTATCTAAATGAAGAGCTTCAACTTTATATAGCTTATAAATTACAGGATCTACATTTCATTTGGCTTCTCCCGTCGATGTTAACTCCAAGTTGAGTAATCAAATACCAAACCGCTCAAACACACAAGCAAAATCTGCAAGGGTTACCATTAAGAGATGGGAGTAGGCAATTTAAGAGTTAATCCTGGAACAATGTCCTCAAATAACCCTACTGTGGCTTGATATTACAGCTGAACATGCTGCCTCTAGTGCTTCCAGCTACTGCTATCAAATGCGCTGGAGCAACTTTCACTGCTGAGCAGCGTAGTCAGCCACACCGAAAGGCAATTAAAGCTGGCATTTCCAGCCTCAATTCAGTCCCCCGGTAGCTGCAACCTCCCCCTTTCACAGCACTGCTGCACCCAGCAGAGCCAATGCAGCCCTAACGAGGGAAGCACTATGCAAATAATCTTGATGCTTATTAGGGACTCGGCAAAATTTTAACCTTAGGTATCAGCTGGATCCCGAACCGCTCAATTTTCCTGTTAAATCTCAGGCTTTCCAACGTTGCGGACACAATCAATTCTGTAAACCAAATTACAGCTCACAACAACAGTAATTTCTCCGCTCCTTCTCTCTTGACATTTACACGGGCAATTTATTGCCTGCTAAAATTACCACTTCCCTCCGTCCAATATCAAAGGGATACCTCCTCTGGGCAATATACTGCTGTGCGAACAGATGCCATCTTTCAGAAGCAAAAAGCAAAGCCTCAACTCAACTCCATTTTACAATACAAACCTCCTAATAGTCGAATAACTCATGTTTTCAAAACCAGTAACTACGTTTTGTCCTAAGAATTATTCTTACTATTTACAGGGATGTATTAAAGGTACTGCTCTTTCTGCCTTTCTCGCTTTCAGGCAAGGTGGAGGAGGGAGAAGCAATTTTTAGCTTAATACAATCACCTGGAAGCCCTTCCGTATAAATCTAATCTTGGCAGATAATTTTGTTCCATCATAGTTTTTTTTTTTTGCTACCTGCATGCCGCAGTCACAGACCGTGACTACTTCTGCCTGCAGTACGGACTGCTCTCCACCTACACAAAAAAGAGTTGATTTATTTAGCTGGGGAAGAAAATAGGTAAGTCACCACTAACTGAACTGGGTTTCCCCCAGGAGAGCATTTTCAGATCACCTGTCCATACGTGTAAGATTCAGAATCAGGATTCCAGCTCCTGCCTGTATATCTGTAAATGCCAGTAGCACGAGTTACACAAACAGCAAAAACCAAGTTAGGCTGAGCTGGTGACCTATGACTGAAGCAGCTGATCCAACACCACCTCCCTGCTTATCTTAAATCCATCAGTTCAATATAAAACAGAGGACCCCTGTAATACTTTACAACATGATCTAAGAAACTTCTTCTTTGATACAGGCACTTGTGGTCTGAATTTACGTATCTCTTCTATAAGCAAAAAAGAATCAAACTGAGCACAAAGCATTTTGGACAACTATAAGCTTCTTTTTAGAGTGGCTGTCATGCTGAAGAGATTCAAAAAAACCTTAGTCTTGCTTGATTTATTTTCATGCAAATCCATTATTTCCAATTATATTTGGGACATATTAAATTATGACCAAAACACAAGTATGAAGGTTCTTTTTAGCAAAGGCAGTATTTTTTTTTAATTTTATGCTTCATCATGTATAAAACAATTTTTTTCCAGAATCTAATCTCAAGTAGCTGATCCACTCTAGTCATTTATCAAACAACAGTAAATAAAGTCAAGTTTCTCCTATTGTGAAACTCAGATTTTGGGGATGAAATCCATCTGATTTCTACTCGGAACCTCACCGAGACAAGCACACTTACATAATCCAATCTAACTTTCTTACACTGATCTAAGCCTGAGCAAAACCCAAAGAAGACATTCTTGTGTGATTTTGTCTAGCATCATGCCACAACCTGTATTCTATATCCACACATAATTGGCCTTCCTCACCAAAAAACAACTCCTGAAGTTTCTGGCAAATGCTCTGTCTGCATCTCAGAAAGCATGTCTGCCTGGGAATTCACGAGGCTTCCGCTGCCATCTCTCCCATCAGCCCTGAACGCTCATTTCACATGTGAAAGGGTTGATGGTGGTGTTGAAAGATTGAGGGAGTGTATTCAAACAAGCAGACTCCTGAATTTTCTATTCCGAGAACTATTATATCAGAATACCACTCCCAACCTCTCCTCTATCTGACAACAGCACCGGGATAAGAATATAATTTAACGTATGTAAAAGAAACAAGGGCTTAGCACGGAGCCAGTAGAAGATTCAGACTCCGTTTCACAAATCCCCGTGGAGGACGTGCTTGGCCATTACTATTCATGCTCATAACCTGAAAGATCCGCAAAATTGTTGAATCATCAACTGTAGGGAACAGCTCACTGCTTGAAATATGTCATCAAAACCTGGTTATTTCAACACGTAAGTGAAAAAGACAGAGGGGGGAAAAAAAAAGCTCGCCATTTTCTGATTAGCTTCATCTCAACCACCACACAAATTCCAAGGATAGCAGGCAACCTGACAGAGCAGGTCTAAGCGTTTCTGCTAACCTATAAAACTAAATATTTTACAACTTACCGGAGTTAGCCTCCCTCATTCCAGGGTCAAGATTATTGTTGATGGCAAAGCAACGTAGCTCACTGATTATAAAAGGAAATTTAGAAAACACTTCCTTCTAGTGCTTCAGATTTTGGAATTACTCCCCAGCTTAAATGAACTTTATCTCTATTCAAATACTGCATTTTCCCCAGAAGAAAAGCACTTAATTTTCTACCACCCAAAAGCTTGTCCCAAGAAGAGATCATACCCTTTCTCACCCAGGGTTCAAGTAATATTCTTGCCATCACGATACAAATTAAGACTTACTCAAAAGCTTCTCTGAAGCCAAACTAAAGTCACTATTGCCCTAGACTTCAGGAGGCATACTTGGACCAGCAGAGGACCCAACCGAAATCTCACAATTTAACTTTCTTATTTTTCTAACAACTTTAGAAGATGAAGACAGACCTCAACGGCCTGTTTCTACTGCATGAACTCTTACAGAACTATTTGCCTAGAAATATAATGCATATTTAAGAGTAACTTTACCATTTTAACATACATTAATTTTACCTAAGAGGTAACACAGAATTGTATGGCAATGAAAGGAGAACTACAGTAAACCAGATCTTCCCCCGTCTTAGTTCTAGGTTCATACAACTTGTAGCTGTCCTAATAGAACTGATACTGTCCCATCAACCACATACCACAGCAGTCTTAGGAAATTTTAGTTGAGGTCTCAATAGACATTAGATAACTTTTTGCCCACCCTTTCCAGGTGAGTACTATTGCTCCAGACTAACAACACTACACTATTTTTTCTGCTGTTCCTGAACTGAGTACATACCCTACTACCACCCCATTTTTTGCCTGCTGCTTGTCATTGTCAAACCCACAGCTCAACAGTGCACCCAGTCCCTATCGTGGACTTCTAAGGGACAGAATTTCAAGCATTCTTCCTTCCCACTTGTACTGCCCATTTCTTGGTTTTGCCAGTGCTCAAAGAAAATAGAGAAAAGAAAACATAACACACAGGACAGACCATGAAACAGACTGGAACAAGTGATGTCAAATATACTGTACAAACTGATCAATCTAATACTCGCCATTCTTTTTAAGAACTAGACCAATTCAGCATCCTTTTTACATCACCCCATCTCAAAGTCTGGCTGCAGTTACTTACAAAAACAATTAAGAAAGGCTGATTTAGCCTTTTTTTGTTGGGGGGGAAGCTTTGTTTTAAGGGTCCTTTCTGCTGAGTGCATAACAAAAGACAGATTACTGATTTAGACAGTACTTCAGTGCAAAAACCCCTTTTAGAGGATCGTAGTATCTCTCTGTAGCATCTTCTTTCTTTTTCTTTCCAACCGCACATTATCTTCAACATCGATCTAGGCTTTTAAGTTTGATCGATGAGGATAGCTGTCCTGGGGCTCACTCCCCTCTGCTTTAACAGCCTTGAACGCTGAAAATACTGAAACTGTCTTCATGGAAGAGGGTGCAGGCAGGAGGAGGAAGGATTACAGGTGGGGGCAGTTACAGATCGAGCCCCCTATTAACCTCTGCAGACTTGTGCTGGGCGCTTCCAGGCAGATGAGATGGGGGGTGCCCGCAGCCCCCCCGGGAAAGCAACACGGGGGACGACGACACCAGGGAACACAACACAACCCCCACAGCCCTAAGGGGGCACAACCGGCTTCACCGCGTCGCTGATATGAAGGGAACAGATAAATAAATAAATAAATAAATAAACGAACGAAAAAGACAGAAGTGGGAACAGATCAACCTGGTTTCCCTTCGCTATTTTAAAATCGGGCTGTAAATCCTATAGGCGGGGGGGGGTGGGGGGAAGGCGTTTAGGAGAGTTAGGCCGGAGCTTCCCC